ATGAATACATCTCATTATACTTGTTAAAGGTCGATTGGCTGCAATCATCGGCATCCAGGTGTCGAGACGGCACACGCCTGCTTGGATATGAGATACAATTGAGTTCGACAGCCAGAACAAGCGTTCTATGAGTAGTCAAGGTATCAATTATGGTAAGGAAAACGGAGAAACAATACGTTGCCTCAGCATCATATCATAATCTGAAGCTGCGATGGAGGAAACTACAAAAATCCGCTTTGACCGAGATAAACATAGCAGAAGAACTGCCTCCATCGGGTCATTAGGCAACGGAGAGTATAGGATAGGAGAGCCAGAGCGCAGGGAAGGCAGAACGCCTAACGGCATTCGAAGCCACTCGAGGCTGAGACCGAAGTCTGATCTCTTGAGCTGCTGTCCGAAAGTTACTCGATGGGCCGGAAACCACTCTAAGACAGAGGTTTGAATAGAAGAGTTATCGTTGAAGAGTGAGTCCTCGCATGGGGAAAATGCTGATCAGTAGCGAAAACTAAAGACTGCACGATGGTCTGTCGATGACAATGAATAGGGGGGCAAAAGAAATCATCCCCACGACTGCCAGCTGTTACTAAGTGTTCAGTGTCAGGTGTGACAAGAATGAAAAATGGGCGATTCTGCGAATCTATGCAATTAACAGTTCTTTGAGTTTGGCGGAAAAATTAAACTACCGAGCCAACATTGTCAGTCACGGAGGATGCTGCAGCGTCTATAGCATATAGAACGTCTATTTGAGTTTAAAGTAGTGGATACGAGATGGGGCAGTGGTGTCGGCATGGGTCAATGGCAGAAGCCGTAATGGTGGCTTTTGCGCCAGAACGACCCGTTTCGAAGATACCTCGCCTGTGGTCCAGGCGAGAGACAGCGATCAAGATCCGTCCGAGCAATATGACAAACGGACAGGCAGTAAAGCTGTATGGGAGAAAAGCAAACAGGCTTAAGATGGGAATTTCCGAAAACCCGCAGGGGGCTTGTAGAGAGCGGTCAGGAGAGTCGGCAAGACGGGCGCCGGGGCTAGAGAAGACATGGGATCAAGGTACAGGATGGATCATTTGCAGCCTTGGCCGCAAAGAAATTGAGCACAAGCACCGTTCGAGAGCAGACTTTCCGCAACCTACCGGTCGACAGACGATGGTCATACGGGGGCAATGATCAATGTTGCCCGGTTTGCACAACTTGATCAGAGCGAAAGGGAGACCTTATGGAACTTGTCGCAGTGACAAGTTGCAACTCTGCGCTGAGGATGGCGCATCTCACTGACGATGCAGGTGAGGCGTCCGGCAATGTACCAAGACTAGGCATGTTCCATAAGGTCTCCCCGTCGCCCCGACCAAGTTGCGGAAAAGACAGCATACCGACACTATACAGCTGAAGGCCACAACGCCAATTTGATCGCCATAGCGACTACCTGATTGTGTGAAATCGTCTTGGCTACAGGGCAGCAACATGGGTAATGGGACTGGTGAGTGGAGGGAGGAGGAATGAGCAGCCTGACTAAAAACGCAGGAAACCAACCAACCATAATTGGCTACCAACTGAAAGGGTTTCCGCTGGAAATAGAGCTCACCTGCTGTATGTACATGTGAGAAAAATTCCAGTGGTTCTAGAGCAAATGAATGATTTCCTTCATATCCTGTATGAGCAAGGCCTAGGCCTCTTTGGAATGTAGGAAGAAGGGGCCAACGGCCCGCATTTTTGAGGGTAGAATAGGGCGATGGATCGGATAATACTTGGTGCAGGATAACCGAGGAAATGCACAAAAAGTAGAGGGAGGTTGGAGGTACTTCCATCGAGAGTAGACAGTCCCTGGGCGTCATGACATCTACGCGGCGGTCATCTGCAGCAGGCAGGCTCTCGCCAACAGGTTGTGAGGGTAACACGGATCACCATTATCCACTGCGAGCGAGTACGGCGGGCACGGGAGCAGGATAATATTGATAAGGCATCATATTGACCGGTCGGGCGTTATTGGCCCAGGAACGACCAGACCGAGAGGGACTAGGGCTACGACGCATAGAAGGCTAACTCTGGGTGGTTGTTAGCCTCAATACGGACTACACGCCGGTCCACGAGGCGCTGGCGCGGCTTTCACCAATGAGAAGGCCGAGGCGAATACGTTCAAAGGTGGATAGAGCAAGACCTGGAGGTTGGAAGTCAATCCATCTCAGCCAATGAAAGCACAGCAGGATAGGCTAACCAATTATAAGCATGCAGAGGGTGTAGGCTTTGTTCTCTAGCCGGCTTGGCACGTTGTTAATCAATACAAATCGGGCACGCGTCATCCTGTGCTTCTGTAAACACCTCTCGCATGCCTTCCGTATCGTCTGTCATGACATTTGGCCAGGTTGGCATGTCTCCACGCTTTTTTCTTCAGTCAATAGCCGGTTGGCGTCCTACGGGCGGCAGTGTGCTTTATATGTGCGTATGTGAACATGTACACACACATATATATGTATTGATGTGTGTGTGCGTGTATGTTTGAGTGTCATCTGTTCAGAGGCATGATGGCACAAAACCCGGCAGTGGTGTGTCATCGCGCAATCGACTACGTCATTATTTCGATTTGGCTTTGATACCGTAGCCTTCACTCGGTTGGCTACCCCAACCCCAGGGCCAGCGTTATCGGGCGGAAACTGAGCCATGAGCACAGTAGCAAATCAATTTGCAATAAACTCCCATGGCGTCCTTTGTCTCTTTCTTTCGTTCAGTTGATAGACGCTTTGCTCTTTATGCTGTGTTCTCCGCGTGGCAGGCCTTGAAGTCCGCAAAAGATTATTATTATCATTAATATAATCATTAGCATTATTGTCACTATTTTTATTGACCCCGTTTTCGTTCTTTGGTCTTGTTGTCAGGGCGACTTAGTTGAACTCATCTTGTCCGAAGTCCTCTGCTACATAAGTTGTTATAATTGCCAGCATCAGACCGTGTAATTGATACATTGTCAGTCGTTTCGCCTGCATCGCAGTCGACGTCGTCAGCGAGTCTTGCTACTCTTAGCAGCAAGCTAGAATTCGCCAACATACCTCTTGACGAGTGGAATATAAACAAGTCAGAAGTTGTGATAAGGCGAGAGTGGGACCAAAGGGTAGGGAGTAGATAGATAAGCCAGGACAGAAAGAAGAGTGACAGCACAACCGTTTCAGCAGAAAGGGATTGACTTCATTTGTCTCCTTGACGAGCTGTAGCTTCGTGCTGAGAATGGCAAGACTCACTGATGATGCAGGCGAAACGTTTGAGAATGTACCAAGTCTGATGATGCCAGACGACTTTGGATTAGGTGCGTTCTACTAAGTCGCCCTAACAACAAGACCAAGTTGCGAAAACGAGATCGGACCAACACTATAAAGCCGAAGGAGAAGGCTGCCCCACAATTATTTTTATACAATTATTATTAATAACATTATTATTAGCCTAATTATTCTTATCATTATCATCGAAATGTTTATTATTTTTTACTATAGCTAATATTTTTTTAATGAAATCTTTATTATTAGTATTAGTGTTATTATTATCAATATTAGGATTATTATATAGACTCCATGATTATCCACCATTCCGAACCTATTGTTGTCATGCCAGGTCTTACTTTATCTGTGTATATATGGAAAAGCTGGGTTTCTACGATTCCCTGTGAGTTAGTGTGAGTTACTGAGTCGACTTTTCATTTAGAAGAAAAAGTTGGATGGAAAGAATACATGAATTCGCTCCACCAAAAACCGGAGAAGGATTGGCTTAGAGTGGAGACTGTTGGATTGGACGAAGGAGTCCTCGACCTACCATACTGCGACTACGATGAACCCGTGCCAAGCTTTCGTGAGTCCTGCAATGACAGACATCGAAAAAGCAGGAGACTATACTTTACTAAATAGTACATAAATTTAGTAAACCAAGACCCATTCTCTTGGTTTAATATATTGGTATCTAGCACGAGTTCATCGGGGTCGCAAGAGGGTGGGCAGGACAACAATTCAACAGCCGTTCCAAGATAGATATTCTGTTTTCGGCGAGACCAATTTACGAAGTTCTTCCAACCATTGTTCCCTCGAAATGAAGAGTCAGGTCACATTTTGCATCTTTTGATTGTATAGTTCATACTGTCTTGATAAATACAATTTTAAAAATCTCTCATTGACACGAAAAGCCTTGTACTTTACTCTGCGAATACATGTAGATGCATGGATAAGTGGTTTCCCA